GGTCCGGTACGGGCGCGACACTGAGGGTTGCGATCCGTTGCCGGACACGAAAAAAAAGACAAAAAGGAAAAAAAACAAATAAACAAAAAAAACCTATATTTTAATAACCCATGCCAATGATTCTGATGTACACCAAACTTTGAGGACTATTCAAACATTATAATAATGTCTTATTCCTCTCTTTGAGGAGAAATGAAAAAACCTCTCTCTAATCTCAGTACCAGAAATTTGACCTATTTACATATATATATATTTTTAATGTTGTATAGCATACTGATATCTCTGGAATAAAGACTCCAGAAGGCTTTCAACAACTAAACTACAACTATAAAAAAAAGCAACTACAGGGCCGGCCCAGTGGCGCATGCTACAGTGCACCGCTTGGGAGCGCGGCGGCGCTCCTGCGGAGGGTTCGGATCCCACATACAGACCGGCTGCTCACTGGCTGAGCAAGGTGTGGGCGCAACACTGAGGGTTGCGAACCTGTTGCCGGTCCCGGTCCGGTACGGGTGCGACACTGAGGGTTGCGATCCGTTGCCGGGCATGAAAAAAGACAAAAAGGAAAAAAAAAAGCAACTACAGACTCGAAGTTTAGGGCTGACATGAAAGAAGATTCCTGAGAGTGCCTGAGCCGCGCCGCCAACCTGAGTAAGCAGCCCTAGACGGCAGAGACCAGAGACCAAAGATGGGGTCCACACCAACGCGGAAACGGAGAGTGAGCTGCCCGGACTGTCCAGCTCTGTGAGTGACCCACAGCCCAGCCCTGCTTACGAGGCAGACCCCCGTACGGCTTCCGCCTGCCACACCAGACCAGCCACCGACCCCAGGGCTGCCTCCATTTTCTCGGGTGGGGGCGGAGCCGGCTGGTTCAGCCAGGTCTGAATCCCGTACCTGGCTCGGCTCTTCACTGAGCCCTGCCACTTGCTTGACCTGCTGCGGGGCCTTCCAGGGCCTGCGGGCCAGCCTCCCATCCCACTCCCTCCACAGTTCTATGGTGGGGCTGGTGGCGTGGGGAGCCCCTGGTCAGCATCGGGAGACAGGAAAAAGCGGGCTGGGTGAATTGTTACTCCACCACACCCGGGGCTCTGCCCCCAGTAAACCACCTGTTGCCGGGAGGCAGATACCACCTCTGTGGCCACCAGTTCAGAAAAACGCCTAGCTGATTTTTGGTTAGGAAAACTCTGGTTGGAATGCTCCTAGGTTTATTTGAGCCTGCCAGAGAGCTGAATTCGGGTGGGCGCGGGAGTCAATCTGTGCCAGGGGGATTCAAAG